TGTGTCTTTTACTCATGCAATGACATCACTCAGGTCAAGACAATAGTCTATTTTATTAATTCAAAAAAATACAAATATATACAAAATAGTCTAATTCAACATTAACACTAATACTAATACTATATATAGTAAACAATAGTGATACAATAACGTCATACAAAACATACAAAATAGTTTAATTTATGAAAACTTCTGAAAATGCTTTTTTCAACATCTATTTACTGTTATGAAAACCAAATCAGCATTGAATCATCTCTATCAGACCTTTTTCGTTTAACAATTTCAATCTCTTGTATTCATTTATCACACTCCTACCCACCTTCAAGGAATCGAAGTCAAAATCAAAAACGTCCATCAAATTCCAGGAAGGAGATCAACTCATCACCACATAGATCTGACCAGGAGCAAACATATTTTGATCTATGGTCAAGGTGACGTGCAGCAACATTAAGCCTTGGGTCTTGTGGACGGTTAATGCAAAAGAATTCTGTAAAGGGATTTCACTTCGGTTTGAATACTGGAAAGAAATGAGACATTGTCGCTGGATTGCTTGGGTTGATTTTCTGGATTTGGTTGTAGAAAGTGGGAAATGACGTAATGATTGATTTTATGATCCATGGTTTCAAAAAATTAAGTGTAGACAGTTTATTTAAGATATGGGGATTTTTTTTTTGTTAAAAAAAATTGCTAATGAGCAAAAATTTATTTATTTTATTGAACAAAAAAATCTAAACACATCAATTTAAATTTAGATCGGAAATTAATTTCACAACAGAAACCATCAGATCCTTCATTGTTAAAAATTCATTCAAGGCTTGTGCATTTCTTTTAAACCTTTTTGATTTAAGAAATTTAACCTCTTATACTCATTTATGACATTGACGTCCACTTTCAAGCAGTCAAAATCAAAAGATAGAATGTCCAACGACTTCCAGGAAGAAGCTCAACTCATTGCCATGTAGATTTGTCCTGGTGCAAACATGTTATGGTCTATAGTCAAGGTTGCACATGGCAGTGTTAGGCCTTGAGTCTTGTGCACTGTAAGAGCAAATGCATTCTGCAACGGAAGTTGATACCTTGATGCTGGTATGCCATTTATATTAAAATTTGCAGTGCTTTTCTGAACGTTGATTTTCACCACATTATCAGTTGTTGGGAACGTAACTTCAACATTGTCATCATTAATAACTTTAGTTACCACTCCTATCATCCCATTGCAGATGTTGTGCTCGAAGAGTTGGTTGTTCAAGAACATAACCCTCACCCCTTCCTGGATTGTAATGGATTTTTGGAGATTTGTGTGATTTTTGAAAGGCAAGTTGTGCCCACCATCGATCCTCTCATGATTTAAAGTGTCAACTGCTAAGGAAACAACAGGATCAGAGCATCAGTCATCGAAAGGTAAGTGCTCACAAACGAAGGCGTTTATTTGGTCTGATATTTCACGGGTACTAACAACATGGGTGGTGTTTATCATCGCCCTGGAATTTTGAGATCTTTCTACCTTTTCATTGATCAACAATTTTGATTTTTGTGAGAGGTGCCCAAATCTCAACTCCTCGAGCAAATGGAAAAAATCCAAATCTTCCTTCTGTCGTTGTGGCCTGGACAAGAACAGAGGGAAAAACGCTTTCCACGCTGGTGAAAAGAAAACCTGTTCTCCGTTCACGGGAGGCAGTTGGAAAAGATCACCAACCAACAGCACCGAAATTCCACCAAATATCTTGTGGCTGTTGTGCAATGAACCAAAAAGGTTACTCAGGAATGAAAACAGCTCATTGGAAACCATTGATACTTCTTCTATCACAACAGCCTTGATCTTCAGCAGAGCTTCTCTCGACTCAGTACTTAGGGACAAGGACTGGTAGTGGCCATCTGTTTGTCTTATTCTCAAGGTTGAATGAATGGTCCTCCCACCAACGTTCTGTGCCGCAACACCTGTAGGTGCCAGCAACAGGTAATTGATTTTTTTTTTTCCAGCATGTCTATCATTTTTAAAGTCATGAATGTTTTTCCAGTACCTGCAGATCCGGTCATGAAGAAGTACAGATACTTGTTTTCGCATTCGGGGCCCCAAGAATTACAAAGCATGTTGTATATTTTGTATTGGTCGTGATCAAGCATCAGTGTGGAGGCTGTTCGAAGAGAAGGCTTTTCCAACGAGATAAGCTGGTTATATATAATGTCCCAGAGATCGTTCTTTTGTAGATCTGTCAGGACGTGTTCAATCACTCTCTTGAACGCTTCAGAAAGTTGGAATTTGCCGGCAACGGAACTTTTTGATAATCTCAACACGGCCTGCTCGTACCTTATCGGGTATAAGCTTCTAAACCTATCCCTATAACTTGTAAATCCTCCTAGCAAATCAACCTCGGAGCGAACAGCATGTTTCATTATAAGATGCTGATAGAAAAACGGCTCTCCATCATCAACATTATAATTTGTAAATCTCGTGAGCAATGGTTTGGTCCTTTCAGCAACAAATCTATTTTTCAGATCTCTTGTCAAGTAAAGCTTGCAGGCTCTTCCTGGTGGATGACCCCTGACTTTAAATCTTTGAAAGTATTCAGGGTAAGTTAAACTTTCGAAAATTTCATTACTTGGTGATCAAAATACTTGTCTATTGCATCATCAAAATACGGTTTTTCCTCATCATCATTCTCATCATCATCAATTTGCATGTGAACGGGCTTGACTGAATGAATTCTCAATTCAGAAGGGGCTGATGGAAGCGGAAGATCTTGTTATGGAATATTGCAAAAGCAATATCATGAGTTCCATCGACCCTAACCTCCTAGCCTGGACATGTCTGCTGTAAGAATCTTGTTCGATAACGTTGAAGATTTCCGTGGGTTCAGGCTTGATGGCATACTTTGTCATGTATTTTCCAAACCCAAGGGTCGTTATGTATTGGAAGTTGATGTGTCCTTGCCAAATCAAAAGTGTCTCAGGGTGGTATGGTACAACCCAGCGGTCTTCCTCTTTGGTTCTTCAATAGACTTATCATTTGGAATTTGGCCTACAGTACGTGTTGTTTGAAAGCGGTTGAAGGAATCCATTTTTGCACGGTTGCAAATTCATACCTGGACCTCTGCATTTTTCCACAATGCATCTATGAATTTGGAACATTGTGACAAGCCAGTGAAGCTCAGGCTCAAGGAACAGGTGAGGCATGTCTGCACGGATTGCATTGTCCGAAATCAAGCCTTGGATCGAAGATTCAGTGTAGGCGAACCCATGCGTGTGGATGGTTTCTCTGTTCTGAAATTCATCCCTTTCGAAATAGTGTAGGAGCTTACCCCATTGCACAAGACCTGGATTTTTCCAAAGTTTATTGCGCATGTTTGCCAACCTGTTGTGATAATGGAGGTACACATGCAATGGTCTGTTTGTTGGGAGTGGATCTTTCTTGTCGGTGCATTCTAAGATTTCTTTCAGATGCTGCCATTTGCCTTCTGTGGCTGTCATGGTGTAGAAAATTTGGGGCAGGCCATAAGCTTGGATCATTGTGTTGATCTGATACTGTTTTTTCTTGAAAAAAGGCGCAGACGTTCTGATAGATGAAGGTAGCGTGGTGGTTAAGGATTTGTTTATGATGGGGCGACTTGTGTACATGCTTGATGATATCAAGTCAGCTCTGGTAAGTGGTGAGTCGTGAGCGACATTCTTCTGATTCAAAATTCTGTTCTGATTTTGGTAATTCCGTTTTTTTTCTATGTTCATGTAAGAATAATGTGGCCAATACCAATGCAATCGAAACCGTGGATCAGGACACAGCATTCTTAATTTATCATACTTTCCATAACTGTCTGTAACTTGTTTAAAGCTTAGCAACTTTTTCACATCTTCATAGTGACCACGGCTGGTGGGAAAGAGATCAGGGAAGACCAACGCTTCAACGTATGGATTACTGAGCTGAATCAGAAGCACAAGGTCATCATCCAAGTCCATGAACCCTGCCATCAAGCATTCATACCTGTAGTCTTCATCATGGATTTGTGCTGGAAAGTCATCATTTGGGACGACCAAGGAGGGTGGTTGTGTGGTGTGTTGGTTAGATGGTAAGCGATCAACAGATCAAGAAACCAGCCTAGCTGTGGGCAAAGGCTCTGGAAATGGATCAGAGGGCGAAGAACGTGTCATGGCGCGATTGTTGTTGTATTGTTTAAATATTGGGTTGTTTTGTTTCAGCCATCGGCTTGCATTTATCAAGCTCTCATGAAACCAATTAGGTGGCTCGGTACCTTGATCAAGGAAAGCACCAATCATGCCCGAGTGCAGATTCAAAGCATGCTTATTCTTTGATAGTCCGATGAAGCCTTGCAAATGACGATAGTTTGTGTAATGGTTGGATCCAGACGCATGTCCCAGCGAACAGCTCATGTGAATCGGAGATATATGCTTACAGTACACCATTGGAACCACGTTGATTTCTTCAGGTATTGCCGCTAATACAGGTGGGAAATGATGGTTTTTTACTGTTTTGCACGACGAGCAAACAGCAATCTTGATACGGTCTTGGTTGTTCATACGCAAAGGTAGCTGAAGTTTGGGGAATGCTGTCGTTAGGTCGTAAGTTTCATCAGGGTCATAATCAACCCATTTCGCAGCAGTGCTCATCATTAGGATAGAACAATAGGCGCAAGGAGTAGATGGGTGATCATACTGTATTTTTTTTTCGAATTCGTCTAAAAGTTCTATAAGTTTTTCCGAAGGGCACCATGGCTGCAATGACAAAGTGGACACCAGCTAGTTACTCAGCAGAGCATTCAGCAAGTTCTGATTCACTTCGTTATGATCCACATATGCAGAAAGGAACAAAATGTCACGAGTGTTATTATTATTATTATTATTCACACGACGAGTATCGGGATCAGAAACAATAAAATCTGAAATGGGATAATTATTCATGGGGGGTTTTTTTTTTATTTTGCTAGAGAAATGGATTGACAAATTTTTTTTCAACAAAATTAATCTTTTAGACAAGATGTCCCAAACACATTCTTTTTATACAACTTATCGAGGGCGAGCATCATCATGTTTTATGCAAATCAGGATTGGAGATTAGATTTTTATTTTTATTTTGTTTTCCAAATCAGTAAAACAATAAGATATTGATCAATTGATCACAAAAAAAAAATAATCTATATTAAAAAAAATTTTTTACTTCATTACACAACAGCAAGCCAAAAACATCGATCATTCATCATCGCTGTATGCCTCATTGTTTGATCAATGATCAAGATCAAGGTCTTCCTCTTCATCATTGGAACACGGCAACTCAGGTCCTTTCCCCTTTCTGTTAACTTGATTCATCGCCACTTGTAAGGCTTTGCTCTTGTGATGGGCCTGTTTGGTGGACTCAGCTCTGTGCAAACTTTCTTGTGAGATTCATTGTCATCAACCACCACTACTTGTCTTTTATTATTTTCTATGGTGTTGGTGGTGGCGGCTGATGTTGAGGTCAACGGTGATGTGGATGATGACGCAAAAGACAATGATGACAACAATGCATTGTTGACTTTGCACCTACGTACTTCTCCTCTATGTTCAGAAACTTTTGCCTGCGCATGCTTTTCCAGGTGAAACCTGTTCATTCTTCACTTTTGGAAATATCCAATCGACCTCAGTGCAAATTATTTGTGTGAGGTTCTCGCCTACAAACAATTCTCCTGCAGCGCTAAAGATTGGTGACCTTTTTGAAGCTTCCGTGATTGCATAAAATCTTGGGTTTGAGGGGTCATAAATGCAAGGGATCTCGATGTCTTCACTTGAGGAAGTGAACATATTGTAGATTTTCTTTCCCAGAACAAAAAAATTACACTTGTCATCAGTGGCCACTGCTTCTGCAACACACGGAGCACAAAATGAAGCAAACAATGGGGTAATTGGGAGGTCGTGGACTCCAGGTTCCTCACAAATTGTTTTTAGGTCAAGATCTACCACCTTTAACACAATTACCTGCGAAAATATTTATTGTCAAGTTAGTTTAGGCATAAAGGAACAAAACACTTCCTTCACATATTTATTATTTATATTTAATAAATTAATTGACGATCCGTGAATGAATGAGAGAATTTTTGTGTGATCGGTGAGGCAAAAATGTAAAAAAATCACCAATCAATAATGTTTAACAAACAATAAAGCACAACGTTTCTGTATTACAAACTTATTCTTTTTATGTTATATATAAAGTAAATCTCATAGATTACTGTATTAAAATATTAAAGGGTTTGGAATGTTTCTTGAAAACTTTTGTATGTAGGCCGCTGAGATTTCAAGAAGTCAATAATATATAAAAATTCAGAATTTTTTAACTTTCAGCCAACACTATCAAGTATTCTGACCAGAGTTATGCTCTTTTTTTTATCGGTTTATTAACAAAAAAACTTTTATTTTAATAAAACCCACCAAATGAACCTATGTATTGTTATAAGTCAAGTCAATAAAATAACTGCAAAAGAATTTTAAAGAGGTATTTAACAAGCCTGAAAGAATTCTAAGGTTGTTTTCTATATTTTTTGTGTGTACATGAGAAATAACTTGTGAAGACGGTGAGATTTGGGGTATTTCTCATTTTATTAATAACAATTAGCAACAAAATTTCATAATAAAATGATCGACATTGCACCCATTCATAAACGGATTGCCAATTAATAATATTTGAAAATTTTCTGCCGATAATAAAAGGATCGGTAATTAAATATTTAATATTTACAACGTTTTTGATTCTGTAAAACAGAAAAATCTTTTATTTTGAATGGATTCTGTTTCCTTTATGATTTATTATGTTATTAAAACTCAAAACGCATATAATTCATGTTTTCTTTAAATAAAACAAAAACCAATTCCAAAAACCACCTTCAAAAACTCACAGTTATGATTCACGTGTAACATCGAAAATTTGCAAACCCGCCCGCCCCCAAAAATAAGGCATTTGGGGCACTCCCCCAAGAAAAAAGTTGCTAATTTCAGTTTTTTGATTATGATCTAAAATTTGCAAGAATGTCTTCTCCACGTGTATCTGGCTCAACTGGTAGAGACTCACCTGCTCTCAGCGCAACCGATCCTTTTCAATTTGACGAGAATAAATTCTCATCGAATGCTGCTAATCCAGAAAAACAAGAGTTATATCTTTTTAATTGGCTATCTAATCTAGAACGAGAGCTTAAAAGAACTGACAAGGTTCGATGAATTTAAAGTTTCTCAATCAATCAATAATTATTATACATTATCACTAAATTAATTGTTGCTTCCTTCTTAATAAATAACACAGGATACTATAAAGTCTCATCAAGTAAATTTAGAAAAATTATTATTAAAGATTATTTCTCTAGTCTCGCCAAAACCTCGTAGACCAATAAGAAATTTGGTTGCAAGATGTTTTGTAATTATTTATGTGAAAGGTGATTCAAGAAGTCTGTTTGATACTGTGACCGCATTACAAAGCATTTTGGGTGTGGTGAGCAAAGGTACAGGTGAAAAAGAAACAAAACTGTAAGTTGGTTTAATTCAATAAAAAATTGCTTCTCAAAAATTATTTTTATTATTTTTAATCTTTAAATATATATATATAATTACTTCTTTTGAATTTTTCAGAGCTGCATTACATTGCATAGGTGTTATTTTGAAATCATTAGGTGATAGAATTTTATCATTATTTCCTGAAACTATTAATATTTGTTTAAAAACAATTAAAAATACAAATAACGTATGATGATTTTATGATTTTATACAAAACATTCAACTCCTAATTAAATTGATAATAAGATATTCATAAAACCATTTCTAAATTACTCTCTTTTGTTGAATTTATATAGCCTTTAATCATTAGATTAGAAGCTACTTACACTATCACAAGATCATTTGAAGGTGCTAGTAAAGCAGCAACAGAAGGCCTTATAAAAGATATTATGAAACAACTAAAAGCTAGTCTAAATGATAAAGCATTAATAATCAGAGTTGCTGCAATTGAGGTAATAGCATATATATATATATATATATATATATATATATAAAGTTATTTATTTATTAATAATCTAAGCTACCATTGTATAATAGTGCATGCACACAATGGCTAAATTAACAAATCAAAAATACCCAATTACAAAAAGTGAACTTGACCAAATAATTGCACAAATGGTAAAAATACTTGATGGATCAAATCAAACAATTCGAAGATCTGTGGCTTCATATTTGGCAACATTGTTAGCACAAACACAATGTGATGCAGATTATTTATCAACCTCGACATCACCTCCATCAAAAAACAACTCATCGAGTCAACAATCACAAACTTCTTCAGGAAGTCCTACTTCAAACTCAATCCAGGATATTGCTGCCGATTCACCAAAATTGTCAGTTGAAGAAATGCTTTCAATTTTATCCTCTATATATAAAAAATCATCTACAACCAGGGAAATGAGAGCTGCTATAATTGAAACATATTCTTCTCTTTTTATAAACTTGGGTACAAAATATGTTCAAGTTCATTATGCTACTATTGCTCAACACCTATTAAATGATTTAGTTTCAAACGTCAAAAGCTCTCCATCACGTTACGATGTCCTTAATGTACGTGAACACTGTGGATTGTTGTTGCGTGATGTGATAGGCACAAGATTATTGAGTGAACAAGGTCAATTAACTGCTGTCAGAGAACTTGCTAATGGTTGGATTAAAAAATGGCCTGCTTTAATGCCTACTGAAACAGAACCTAGCAAATGGGCTCTTGTTTGTGCAGCTAATGAAATATCCGGTTTATTGATTGATTTGGGTGGTGCTGCAAATACTATTTTGGTAAATTTTTATATTTATTATTATAGTTTTTTATTTAAATAAATACTAATTTTTTTTAAATAATAGGATGTGATTATGAATCCACTTGTTTTACTTTTAAGTCATCCTAGCCATTCAGTTCAAGTTGCAACTGCATGGTGTCTAAGATGTTTGTGCTTTTCATTACCTATCAAATTAACTGATCTTATAACCAAAACACTCAATTTACTTAATAAGGATTTAAACAACCTTGGTAATCATACATCACCAGATCTACCAAAGAAAACATTAGGACATGCATATGGCTTGGCAGCATTATTAAGTGTTGTACATTCAAGACTTCTTGATGTCTCATTTGAACTAAGTGCACGAGTATTTTCATTGGCAACCCAACTAATTAAATCTAGTTCTAATAAAGACCTTGCGGTTGCCAGTGTCCAAATTCAAGTTGCATGGATACTTGTTGGTTCATTGATGTCCTTGGGGCCAAATTTTGTTAAACTTCATTTGCCACAATTATTATTACTATGGAAAACTGCATTACCAAAGCCATCTTCTAAAGATTCTGTTTCTAACCGAACAGAAGGCGAATGGACATTCATGTTTCATGTTAGAGAATGTGTAGTAGGAGCTATGTTAAGTTTTCTATCACATAATTCAAAATTGATAACAGCTGATGTGGCAAAACGACTCGCAGCATTATTAAGTAATGCATTATCTTTCATTTCATTGGTTCCTACTACGTTTTCTAATTCTTCAACTACACCAAATTCTTCAACAACCTCAATAATTCCCCCGTTGCCTTCATCAACATCGCTGAAATTCATAGATAGAGATAATATGTTGAAACGCAGAATAATTCAATGTTTTATATTAATAAAACCTGTTTCATCATTTGAGAATCTAAGTTCTCAATTATTGAAAATTTGCCTATCAAATTTTGCAGATCCTGAGAAAAACATGGGTTCGGCAATTACAGCTGCAATCGCTGCAGTTTCTGGATCATATACTAGTGTTTGGACAACTGGTAATGAATATGGTTTTGGTGTTACCAGTAGACTGCAAGGAATAAATATTGATATTGCCAATCACTTTGATAATAATCAAAACGAAAACAAAGGCAATGTTACTAG